CTCAGATACATTTCGTTCCTCAAGAACTAGGTCATCGCAAAAATTATTACTGTGACTACCTACAGGCTAAAGTATCACTATTACTATCAAACATATGATCAAAATATGAATTACAGTTCTAATCTGTCTTTAGTGATGTCTTCGAGACTCAAGGATTTGAGAAACGTAATCCAAAGAAAGTCCAGTCAAAATTCATAAATTGATTTTCGATATGAAATATAGACGTCAAGCTTTGAGGAGTTTCTCGTTTTGTCCATTTTTTAGAAACAGTAAGAAATGATTTCCACTTCGTTTAATTTCCTTGCATCACTGTACTGAGTAGTAGGAGACTCCTGTTGCTTGGCGGAGCTGTTTACGAATTAACAATTTCTAAAATGCCACTAATGATCACGACGATATTTCATTTATATGAAATATTCAAGATGCAAGGAATGATAACTCACCATTATTTTTGTTAAAACTAATAATTATGCACTAAGAAGCTACTGTATCCGAAAGGTTTGGAACGGTGCAAAAAATATTCCGAGAGCTGGCCTTGATTCTGATATCATATTCAACCAGACGTTTTAATAAAGGGTTCAAAAGAGTTGAGAGATCATACCAAACAAAAGCTAGCTCATCACAAAGAGAATCCTGATCCTGAAAAGCACTCAAACTCGAAGTAAGCCACGCATGAATAATTTAGGCAGCATATTAATAATTCGGAGCTAAGTGTTGGTGATTCACGGCGTTGTTCATTGTCAGCACCCAATATGAAGAGGTGTCTGTAGAATGTGCGAATTCAAAATGTCATAATCAGAGTATACTGGCATCGTGTACACAGATCACTCAACACAAGCGCGTCGTTTAATATGAATACCTGCATTAGTTGTCATTTCCACGCCTTTCATCTCTGAATGGCATATCTTATATGTGTGCTCATTTTCTCACGGCGGTGTTTCCTGAATTTATGTACATCTTGGAGCCGAACGTTATCAAACGAGATTAACGCTGGATAATACAAAACATGTATGTATACATATATGTATTTTGCAAACAAGTTTTCATTTTTTTCTGTGAAAGGTAACATTTCGCAAGTCACAAAATATCGATTAAATCCACCACTTCACTTCTTAAACGACCAGATGATATAATAGCAATAACAACGACAAAGATGATTTGCTAGCAGGAAAAATTTTGTCTGACTCCAAAGTTCATTTTCAAGTCAAAATAAACTGAGTATTCCCGTTGTGAAATCTTTAGCCCTAGAAGACATATTTTGACTGTGTTAGCCAATGCGTTGTAATATACACCAATATTGTCGACAACGACAAAATGAAAGCATAATGAAGTAGATTTCGTAGTGGTGAAATGCATAAAAATTTTCATTTTTCATAATTCCGTTGTTGATTCTCATCAGATGCTGATGACAGCATATATCGTTTGTTTCTTGAAATCTTGGCAATAAGAACAGAAAAAAAAACAATAACAGGAAACAATATGAAGACAATAGAAAACAAGGAAAGAGACGAAAAAGAACATGAAAAAGAGAAGAAATCAGAAAGAAGACAAAAATGAATAGAAAGAAAAAGAAGAAAGTCGTAAAGAAGAACATTGACGTAAATGAATTCAAGAACTAAGAATATTGTTATTAAAGAGACGTTAGAAGTATAAGAAAAGAAAAAATAAAATTTCCAACAACAAGAACTAGAAGAAATACTGCACAGTATTCAAAAGAAATTGAAAAGAGAAAAAGAAGCGAAAGGAAACTGACAACAAAAATGGAAAAGTAAAAGGATGAATTTCTGAAACCGTGATTAACGAGACCAAAAGAAGCAAAAGAAACGGTCATTTCTTGAATCGAGTCACAAACCCTCGAAACGACATGAAAAATATAACAAGCACAAGGTAAAATGGAGGCAAGAAAGTCTGAGATGAAATTTCAACATTCGGCAACCAGGTACACAAATTGAAAACGAGTTGGAAGAAATCAACGACCAGGTCTTATCAGATATAATGGAAGAATTGAACGAACAGATCCACTGCTCTGCTGCACATCGTGGACGACATTATTAGGGCTACAGATGAGGGTCATTGTTCTGTACTTGTGCTTCTTGATTTTAGTCGAGCTTTTGACACTCTAAACTATGATCTATTTCTCTCCATTTTGAACTATATGGGATTATCGGGTTGTGCTATCTTCTTGAATGCTAAATTAAAAACAGGGAACAAAAAGTGTGCCAGGATGGAATCTATTCAAACTATTCAAAACTTAAGTCAGGTGTGCCACAGGGTTCAATATTGGGTCCACTATTGTTTACAATTTATTCATCAAACATGTTGCGTAGTCTAGAACACTGGAAATTTCACCTTTATGCTGATGACACTCAACTCTATCACAGTTTTCTCCTTCAAGGTGTAGAAAACGCATGTACACTCATTAACAATGATCTCGAGTAATTTTTTGAGTTGAAAAGCGATCACTGTCTACTACTAAATGCCACTAAATCGAATATCATCCTTTTCGGATCAAAAAAGAATCGCCAGAAAACAAGTGAATCTCTTACAATCACGATTTATAATGTTCCTTTACAACCCACAAATGAATGCAAAAATCTTGGAGTTATAATCGACTCTAACTTGCGGTTTGAGAAACATATGAACAAACAAATACAACTGGCATATTCTTGGTTGAAACTTATTTATGGACACAGACACGTACTCACGAAACAGACAAAAACAACTCTCTGTGATGCACTGGTTTTATCGCGTTTCAACTACTCGGATACTTTATATGGTCCATGTTTAACCAAACAGTATGCTCAGAAAATGCAGAAAGTACAAGACTCAAAGAATATCCTAAAGTTACGGGATACGGGTTGGATCACAATCTGAACATCAGATTTACGGAAAAGATTCAAAAATCATTCTGTTCGAAAGCCAACTTCAAGTATAAACTACCCAACCCTATATATTTTTGATCATTATGAGACCAGAATGAGTCTCAGTAATGGACGTCTTCTCCAGCATCTTGATAGATATTTGAACAATCCCAATTTTTTTTTCATGATTTACTTTCTTTTTGTCTTAGCTTAGGTAGAATCTTTTTGATGTTGAGTGGAAGAACAACTCAGTAGCACTTGTGCTAACTGAGTTGAACTTCGCCTTTTATTATATCAGCAACTAGCTCTTTAATTTTATGTAAATATTTGTATGTAACTACAGCTGAGAAACAATTATTATTATTATTTTTAAGAGTTGAACAATGTAAGGGACCAACTTCATCACACATGGCCCTCTAATTAACCTCCCTTTTTTTCACACCATAATAAATACACTGCTGGAAACAATCGAAATCTCACAATAAGCGAAGAGGGTATTCCCTACTTAATAGGACGCTGCTAGATCAGAATCCCATAGATAAAAAACAATAACGTTTAAGGGAGAGTCAACAGGTCTCTCTTACTCGAATGGAGCAACATATTACAATGCCCCGGAGAGAACACAGGTTGCAGACTTCTGAGAGAAGGCACAAACTACCGACAAGTATAGAAGAAATTCGGAAACCGATGCGCGTCACAACTGTAATATCGGATGAAGAAGCTTTGGAAAAAACACCAAAGCAAGTAGACGAGGTCCTGAGACGAAGTAACTTGAACAGGAGGGGAGATACGCCCCTGATAATGTGGCAAAGTAACAAGTGAACAAATCGCCACTGGAGCAGAAAATGCGCTCAATAATCGTATTCCAAGAAAATTTCAGCAATAGGTCACTTGGGAGAATTTCAAGCAACGAAACAGGTTTCGTGGCTAGTTCAGAGTGAATATTAGTTAAGACAGTGCAGATCAGTGCAGGTGACAGAAGATTGATAAGAATGTGAATTGAAATGTTGTGAAGTGCAATTGAAGTCCTATTCGTTAATGTTGCACTTTGGGTAATCGAATAAAACTATTAAATAGTAGAAGTTGATCATTTTTGAGAACCCACATTAACGTGACAGCTCTTTGAACTGAATGGAATACCCTGTAAAATACTTCAATATGTAAGAAATATCATTATACAGTTTCAGTGACATTTGTGAAAAATAACTCTGGAGAAATATGGGATTCCTCAAGATTCACAAAATATAATAGAAAGAAGACTCGAGGTGACAAGTATTTTCTATTCAATGAAGTTGTGAAAGGCGATTTAACAAGAATTCAGAACAAACGATAACATCGACTGTTTGCTTTTACGATAAACATTCAATCAATCATTCTTTTCGAATGCCTTCACTCATTATTGCTTTTTCCTGCTTATTTGTCACGCCCCTTTCAGAACACTCAGACATGTTTCAATTTACCTTATATTTGTAAAGTATGTGGAGTATTGTCAGCCCAGTAGTTTACGAATAGTTATTGATCCAATTATTTTGATGATATTTCACGATAAGTTTCATGAATTTATAATAGCTAGATAAAACTCAGCAACATATTGAATTCATTCGGATAACGCTATTATGTATGCTTCAGTATATGATACAGAACATTTTTGTTCAATAATTGATAGGTACATCTCTGTATAAGGACGATAAATTGTGAAGTCCAACGTGCAAACTAAAAAAGTATAAATAGAAGAGAATTTATAAAAGCATAAAATAACATGTCATATACTCAAACGAGCAATATCTTGAGGATTATCTGTGTGAAATATGTATTCCATTGACTTGTGGTGTCTTTAAAATAAAATTAGAAATATGAAGGCTGAATTATTCTCAGGACATTGAATTATATCTGATAAATATTATGGTTGAAAGCTGACATCTTTAGAAAAAGATGTTGAACAAATACTGAAATTGATGGTTGACGGAAATAGAAGGTGGAAATTGTCCGCGATTGTTTTAATGAAATTTCGAGAACATTATCCCCTTTAAATGGTAAAATTGACTCTTCTGGACACTTCATGAAGAATAATTCAATGAATAATTCAAAAATGCAATGATTGATGATTTACCAAATTGCAAAAATGATATTAGAACTTACCTCCGCGGTTTTCACTGTCCGCTGGTTTCACTTGGATGGGGCGGTTCATCTGGAACAAAAATGATTGTTGTCATTTTCGGATTACTATGTATAAATTGGCTGCAGTGGTAGTGCACCCGACTCACGATCGGAAGGTCGTGGGTTCGATTCCCGCCTCGACCAGATATTTTTCTCGAGAGAATTTATCTGGTTGAAGCAGGGATGATTCTGCAACCGTGTTAGGAATCACACGTTGAAAGGTAAGACCACGTTAGTCCTTAGCTCGCACAAGTTTCTCAACTTCTGAGAGTTGTCGTTCGTATGGGGGCGACAGCTGATTAACGGAAAAACAAATTTTTTTCAAATCCCATCTTCATTGTAATATGGTCTTTCTATATAAGATCTCTAGCAAATTTATTTGATTCAGAAATCCATTACCAATTGAATAAGCGAAATCAGCAGATGAAAATTAACGCTGTTTGATTTCTCCCCACAGCACCCGCAAATGTTTAAGAAATCACACATGATCAACGAATGAATTCTGCAAAAAATATGAGTGAAATTTTGAGAAAATATACAATGTCATCCCCAAACTATGCACCATATGGGAAACTTCTTTATTAAGGGTTTTTCGGCAAAAAGTTATTCCTAATAAAAGTTTGTGCATCCCCCAAAACTAAACATGCACCAACAAAATACAGTAAAACACACGTAATATACGAGGAGCCTTCAATTATTTGATTTTGAGACAAGAGTAAAGTACTCTTATTTTGAAAAATCTCTGGAAATATTATTCAAACAAGTTGTAGTAAAAACTATATCCAGATTCGAAGTCATGGCCATCCAAGTGAGGTGTTATTTTTTCACCCATTTTCTTTAAATGGGCACTACGAAGAAAAAAATTTGCTAAAACGATAAATAGACAGCATTCTGTATAAGACGGTTTATTTCAAAAGCCTGAAATATTACGAATTACACAACTATGGTGTTAACCACGGTAAATTTTTTTGAAGAGTAAAATAATTTTTAAAGTTTTTGGTGCAAAATTATTTTTATTTTTTTTAAACACCGAAAATTACTTAAAATTATACAGAACTGTAGCAAGAACTTCATAGTCAATAATATCAAATCAAAAAACATCAAAATAAAATAGGTATTTCGGAACAAACTCATTGATGAAAATTATTTTACTCTTCAAAAAATTTGACGTTGGTTAACACCATAGTTGTGTAATCCGTAATATTGCAGGCTTTTGGAATAAACGTCGAATACAGCATGCTGTCATTTTTTCGTTTTATCAATTTTTTCTTTTCGTAGTCCCCAATTAAAAATGAAGGTAAAACAAATAAAACTTCAATTAGATGGCCATGACTTCAAATCTAGATGTATTTTTCAATGCTGAACAACTTTTATAAAATAACATTTCCCGATATTTTTCAAAATAAGAGTACTTTACTCTTGTGTCAAAATCAAAGATACTAGGAATATCTTTTTGTCAAAAAACCCTTGAAAAAGAAGTTTCCCATATGGTGCATACTTTGGGGATGACACTGTGTGTAAAGGGTAATGTTTGTTACATCAAGAAACTGTAAATTTCATTTGTGTTGGTCACAATTTAGTTTTTATCAATGTGAAAAAGATATCTGACCCACATTTCCTTCAATTCAATAAGTTAGTTTTCAATATCACATCACTTTGAGATGTCTTATATCTGCCACAGTGATGTACTACTAAGTTGATATTATCTTATAGTGTCATAATATCATTGGGAAAAATTTCCGTTCATCATCATTCCATTCATTAAAATTCATATTGAACATCCAAACTCCAAGAGATAGATATTCACTCCCATATTCAAATCGAGGCTTGCTCTAGTCTTGAAGAAAACGAATGAATTATAAATCATGTACAGATTATATTTTCGAAGTAAATCCACGAGCAAAAATTAACTTCAACTTGGAACGTTCCACTTTCAACCCAACAACCATAAACCAAGATTGCGAACATCTTGATCTGGGTGCTTCCTAAAAGAAGTTCTGAAGCACATGAATCTGATATTAGGTAACACAAGGCAACATGGTACTTTGTGTTGATAGGGGCTGTGAGAACGTCTGTTGGATTATAGCGGTAGAGAATTTCCGAAAACGAAGAGAAATAATTTTTGAAATGTTCATAACTTGAATTCTTCGAATTCGAATCAATGAACAGAAAAATGACCACCGACTCGACTATACATGGCCTAACTTTGTGGAAGTATGGAAAATTAAAAAACTGAACAAAATCGTTATCTATTCAAGAACTTCCTAGGATAGGTGTGGCAACAATCATTCGAAACGGAATTAGAGTACCTTCATCTTGGAGTCACAATATATTGGAAGTCCCATCGACAGTTGATTATTCATTTATGATATCTAATCAATAACGAAAAATAATATTTCCAACATTACCATAAACTGAACTCTTTCAGGAGCTTTACGAATAGTTCCTCAAAAATTTTTTCAATGAATATCGAATTCAAAACATAGATGGGCAAAAGCAGAGAAAGTAGGAAATATAAACTAATTTTGGCCTAAAATATGCTTCAGGTTGATTATATGAAAAATGACATAATTGTGAACATATTTTTAGAAAGGAAACGAATAAAGTTTAGTGTCAAACCAAAGCAAGTTGACCAGAAGAGAAAAATCGTCACAGGTAGAAATACATTTGCTACTGGATCACGATTTTGATCCAAGGGGAAACAAATACGTCAGAAAAGAGCCAACAAAGTCTGAGTCTGTATGTATAGATCAACTGGAAGAAAACGCGATTGTTATTTGAATAGGTGCCTGGTGCTAAACAAAAAACTTTGGTACCGTTTTCATGGTTGTACCAAGGATCACTTTATGATTTAGAGTGTCATATATCTTATGATCACTTTTGAGGTATGTTCGAGGAGTAGCGGCAAAAACCTTCACTACAAAAATTCTGTTTTTTCTGTGATTTTATTATGAAACTGAAGTTGATCATCTACTTTGAGTGAAATGAAACATCCCCTTATATATGCAGATGGCATGCATGAGTTCAAACAATTTTGTAAACTGGAAACAATGGCGTATGATTGATTTTGAACTGAAGCGATTATACGAGATACAATTCGATTAGTTACATTCACATCAAACATGTATGGCAGACAGCATGCCTGTCTACAGCGATATGAACGATGGATAAAAACGTGCGTAATTGCTAAACTCGATATTTTAAATGTCGTTTACAACATTACAAATGTATTCCATATCTCACATGTGCCAGTTGCACTGAACATGGTCCTAATTTACTCTGATGACAGGAAATTAAAGTCAAGCTCCTGTCCATTATGGCAGGAATGTTGTTATCGCCTATCTCCATAGTTACAGCTGGCCTGCGCTTTCATACCACATTCCACTAACACCATCCCCATAGTCCAGTTTCAAAGGCTATTATTGAGATACAGTGTCGGTGTCTATTCAATACAAGATGAGCACAGGATATGCGGAATTGCTTATTGCTCGTATCTAGTAACAAAAGAAATTCGATTATTGAGGCCAGGTGTCAGAGTTGATTGAACACTCTATCTGCTACGAAGAACTCAATTACTGTTAGCAAGATCCTAGATATGAGTTGGGAAATAGTTTAATGACTAGCAGATATTTAACATCTTCGATCGAAATTTATTTTAAAGTCAATTTTCCAACTAGCACACTGCTTTGTAGACTTTGAATCATTTGTGTTGAATACTCAAATTTGACGAAGCTCTCATTTCCCATTTGAGTCAACAATTTTTGAACACTATAGGTACTTGAAACAACCTCAGAGTGAGGAGGCAATTTGAGTCGGATTTAACTCACTGCCAATTATAGTAGAATACATTGATTTGGATAACGTAAAATATATTTTCGGGTCATATCTCGAATGCACCAAGTTTATTTGCAAATCCATAATTTTCGAGAATTTGCTATGCATTTAACTAGAATGTCAGATGAAATATCTAAACTGTAGATTGACGAATTTTATTTTAACCCAGATGTGCCCATAGGTCCAACATGTAGTATACCTCAAACTTGTCAATTCTTGTCTGAACATTGGCTTCCATTATTAGTAGGGAGACGAATAATTTGAGGTTGACAAAACTAAGATTTTGTGATATTTTTGAAAATGGCTGAATGCGGTGTTACCTTCACAAGGTAATTTATTTTTTTCAGATTTTGCAAGAATGTATAAATAATTTCGATTGAGTTATCACTTTTTTGAAAGGGAAATCTAATATTCAGCATTTATTCGAGCAATCATGTTATGTTGGTGTTTTTGTTCTACGCATGTGAACATATGTATCCTATGTGTTGACAAAGATATAATATTTATAATGGTTTACAAGCAGATACAATAACCCTCTTTCCGCTCAGTAATGCTTGTGGTTATATCACCGATGAAGATTCTGGAGAGGAAGACAATATCGACATAAATGATTTTGCCTGCTTCATAAATGCAAAGTGAATGTGAGGTGTCATCTACAGATCGTTATGATTATGACTGGGATCGAGATGATGAAATACATTTATCGGAAATGGAAAATTATTCACTGATCAGAAAAAATAAACATCAAAGGATAGGAAAAGGTGTTGATAAATCAACATGATAATGTTACCGAATGTACCCCTTCACAATTTTGGTTTTTTTTTTATTTAGAAAAAACCGCATCAGCCGTAGCTATTAGCGGCTACACATATAAAATATATCTAAAATATGCAGTTGTTTACATTACAGTTTAAATAAAATGCTGCATTCTTTGAGAAATTCAATAATATTGTTGGTATTGGTATTTTGGCAAATTTCACTTAGATCGGAGGGAATTTTATTGTTCAATCTCTCAGCTGTGAAGAGCGGGCACTCTACCAGAACATGCTTAACAGTCACAAGCACTTCACATGCGAAATATTTTGGTGGCGGTTCTTTCCTCAGTAGATGTTCATGCGTAAGGCGAGTTAGCAGGGGAGCCCACGATGCAAAATGGGGATTTACTCGAGCGTCATAGAGACATATTAGGATGCAAAG